TGCAGCCTACCATGCTCTGCTGACTTTGGGACTTACAATGGACTTGAATTAAGGCCTGCCACGTGGTTTGGTAACATCGGGACTGTGCCATTTTATTTGACAACCTTGGGCTTGTTAGCCTCAGCAGCCAGTGTCTGCCTGAGTGAAGAGATGCCTCTAGCTTCAGTGGGCTGGGAGCAAGAGGCAGAGCTGAAGCCTAAGGTCGAGGGGTTTTCACCCAGCCCCTAGAGCCTAGCACTTTGAACTCAGACTTCTAACCTCCCAAACTGTAAGAGAATAAACTCTTATTTGTTAAGGCCATCCCATCTGTAGCATATTCATATCAGAGTGGCACTAGGTAACCAGAACACTAGTATACCATTATTTTGTAACTTTTAAGGAAATAATTCTTTCAGGTGACTATCATCAAAGGCTGCTAACAGAGAGATAATCAGACCTTATGTGACTCATAGCGGAAAAAACATACTATCACCAAGACATATTCTTGTTAAGCAAAAATTAATTTCTGAATCTCATCAAGCTTAGAGATCTAATTACTGATTTACCAGAAATATCATGGAGAAACATGCTGTTACGTATTGAATTGTGTTCCCTGAAAATATATGCCAACTTGGCTGGACCATGATTCTCACTTCTTGTTGTTGTTAGGTGCCATTGAGTTGGTTCCGACTCATAGCGACCTTTTGTACAACACAATGAAACACTGATCCTGTGCCTCCTCACATGATGTGAGTCCATCCTTGCAGCCACTGTGTCAATCCATCTCATTGAAGATCTTTCTCTTTTTCACTAATCCTCCAATGATTCTCATTGACAGTTATGTAATGATGTAATCATCTCCCATGATTTGATCTGATGTGGTCAGCCAATCAGCTGCAAGCGGATTAGGATGGGATACAACACCATTAATGAAGTCACAGCCCTGATCTGATGAAAGGGAGTTTCCCCAGGGTGTCATCTTTTATGTTACAAGAGATAAAAGGAGAACAAACGGCAGAGAGTGGGGACCTACTACCACCAAGAAAGAAGAACAAGGAGTTCTTTGGAATTCCTTGAACTGGTCCTTGAACTGGACCTTGAACTGGTTCTTGAACTGGAAACCTTCTGGACCCAGGAGAAGATTGATACCAAGACAATGGAGATCTCTAAGGAACACTGGGCCCATAGATCCAAAAGGAGATAAGAACTTCCTCCTAAACTGTGAGCCAGTAGAAAGAGAGAGCCTTCCCTAGAGCTTGTGTCCTGAGTTCAGATGTCTACCCTCCAAACAGTAAGAAAATAAATGTGTGTTTGTTAAAGCCACTCACTTGTGGAATTTCTGTTATAGCAGCAGTAGATAACAAGGCGGGAGCTCTGGTGGTGTAGCGCCTAAGGCATTTATTTGACTGCTAACTAGGAGGCTGGTGGTTCAATCCACTCCTCAGAAGGAAGGTTGGGTAATCTACTTCTGTAGTGATACTGCCTGGGAAACCCAAGGAGGGGTCACTATGAGTCGGGATTGACTTGAAGGCAGTGAGTGAGTGAAATAACAAGGCATGTGGTAAAAGATAAGGTGGGGGGGATGTGATCAACAAAATCCAGACCTTGAAAAATGCTACAAAACAATTTGTTATTTTCAATAAATAAATTGTAAAGGGGGGGGGGAAGAAATGGAAATATCTATATATCAAAAAAACTTAAGAAACATATCAACCAATTGCAATATTTGAATATTATTCAAACAAAAACTGAAAAAAAAAAAGAAAAACACTGGGGAAATTTGAACACTAACTAGATGTTTGAAAAATATTGTTAAAATTTATGTATGATAATGGTATTGTTGTGTTTACAGAAAAAGAGTCCTTATCATTTAGAGATACAAACTATCCATGTCTTCCAGCAAAAGACCAGCAGGGACGTGTCTGGTTGAACAAAGCTGGGTTTACTGACTTGTTGTGAGTAGGGAAAACACATACACGGGGGACATCTCAGCAGGAGGGTGTTAGGAAAGAAGGACTCCTGGGATTTGGATTTGCATTAGGTGATTGGGAGCTCTGGTGGTGTAGTGCCTAGGGCATGTGACTGCTAACCAGAAGGCTGGCAGTTCAAACCCACCAGCCACTGCTCAGAAGGAACACAGGGCAATCTATTTCCATAGAAATGTCACCTCGGAAACTCAAGGAGGGGTCGCTATGAGTTGGAACCGACTTGATGGCAATGAGTTTGGGTTTGTTTTGCTTTTTTTTTGGTGATTTGGAGTGAGATCCAAAGAAACAGGCTTTGCTCTGGATTGGATTCTTTCAGGAAGTAGGAGTAATTCTATGAATGAGTATCTTAATAATTAGTGCCTAAGGCACTTGACTGCTAACCAGAAGTCTGGCAGTTCAAACCCACCAGCCACTCCTCAGAACGAAGGTTGGGCAGTCTACTTCCGTAGTGACACTGCCTTGGAAACCCAAGGAGGGGTCGCTATGAGTCAGATGCGACTCAATGGCAATGGGTGGGTTTTTGTAGAAGGTAAAAAGAACAGAACAAGGCTACAGCAGTGACTGGTTAAAAAAAAAAAAGCAGCAGTCACTCATATTAGCCAGTCTAGGAGCTCTGGGGGCCTAGTGCCCAAGGCATTTGACTGCTAACCAGTAGGCTGGGGGTTCAAACCCACCGGCCACTCCTCGGAATGAAAATTGGGCAATCGACTTCCATAGAGATACCACCTCGGAAACCCAAGGAGGGGTCACTATGAGTGGAATCAACTCAAGGGCAGTGAGTTTGTTTGTTTTTTTTTTTTCTGGTTTATGGGGTTGTTTGGCCACTTTTGTGTGCAGACATGGTTATGTAGTGTTTTATTTTGTCTTAACCCATCAGGGTCACAGACTGGTCTGTGTGATTGGTGGACTGTGAATTTGTTTAATAGCAGAACACAAGCCTAGCCCTGAGTTACAAACAGGTCAGTTCCCAGCCTGGCCAGTTCCCAGCCATCAGGGATGACTTTTCTCTTTCTCAGTATTGAAATGTATGAATGAAATAAAACGCAGTCTGTGATTTGCCTCAACACAATGATAAGCAGGCTGATAAAACAGGATTGATCACGAGTTGATAATTGTTACAGCTGAGAGGTAATTTTATAAGAGTTCATATACTGTCCTCTCAAATATTGTTTTGAAATTTTCCAAAATAAAAAATTTAAAATAATGGGCAAAACAAGCCATCAGATATAACGTTTGGTCATGGAATCTGGAAGTTTAATATTTTAAGATTAGTATTAAGTCAGCCTAGGAGTCTTAAGAGCGCCCTCTTCTGGCTCTCAGTGGAAAGAGAGACAATCGGCACAAAGGGATTTGCTGGTGGAGCCCGCCCACCACTCACTGTGAGATGCCTCTGCAGGCCTGAGGCTTCCTCACACACTGGTCTGCTGGCTACGCAGGCAACCAGAGCCTCATGTAGGGTAGTGCTCCGAGAATGGTGTGTCCCTGCCATCTCGACACCAAAAATTGTGGGGGGAAGATTACTGAGTTATTATCAAGGAATATTAATGTTTTCTTTGTTTTCCAGAATGCCCATCACCTATATTGTCCCCAGAAACCAGTGTGGTCACAAAGGGTCAAAAAGTATCTCTGATTTGCTCCATCAAGGAAAAATCACCAATACTCAAGTTCTACTCTTTGTTTCTGGGTAAGAACCACCTGAAAACTGACACTGAAAAAGGTGAAACCAAGATTTTTAACCTAAGCATCTCAGAAGCCAGTGATTTGGGCCCCTACAAATGCAAAGTCCAAGTTATCAACTGCTCAAAGTACAGTCATGAGTTCACCTTCACATTGGTAGGTAAGTAAAGCCCTTGTTATTTGGAGCCCCAGTGACTTGTGGAATCTTTTCTGTTCTGCTACGGGCTCTCCATGCCCCTTATTCAAGAGTCTGGAAAGTGTGTCACCAATTTAAAAAAAAAAAAAATTTTATTGTGATTTGAGTGAAAATTTACAGAGTAAATTTGTTTTCATACACATTTTTTTTTTTTTTAATTGTGATTTGGGTGAAAGTGTGCAGAGCAAATTTGTTTTCCATTCAACAGTTCATGCACATTTTGTTTCATGACATTGATATGACAGTCCCCGTAATGTAATAGCTCTCTTCCCACTTCTTCCCTTTGGTTACCTTTTCCTTGTGTCCTTCTTTCCTATGCATTCCTGCCCTCTGGGCTGTCTTCTTGTATATATGCTGTCCTGATCTCCCACAGTTGATTGTTCTAAGAAGTACACCTACCTGGTATAAATGTTCACCTTGTAGGCCTGTCTATTGCTTGGCTGGAAGCCTTGGGAGTGTTTAATTCCAGGCCTAAATGTGACTAGGGGCCATAGTCTCAGGGGTTTCTCCAGTCTCTATCAGACCAGTAAGCCTGGTCTTTATGATTTTGAATTGTGTTCCACATTTTTCTCCCACTCTATGCAGGATGTCCTATTCTGATCCCTTTACAGGTGGTTGACACTGGTAGCTGGCCATCATCCGTTTCTTCTGGTCTCGGGGTCATGCAGGCTGAGGTTCGCATGGTCCACTAGTCCCTTGGACTGATTATTTCTAAGTGCTTTGATTTTCTTCATTCTTCTTTGCTCCAGATGAGGAGAGAGCAACTGTTACATCTTCACTGGCCGCTTACAAGCTTTTAAGGCCGCAGTCACTACTCACCAAAGCAGGACCATAGACATTGTTTTGTGCCATTGATTGCACTCCCACAATGTGACGGCTCTTCCCACTTCCTCTCTGCCTTTACCTTTCCATTCATCCTTCCTGCCTTCTGAGCTTTATCCCCAGGCAAATGCTGCCTTTTTGATCTGTAAGGCTGATTGTTCTAAGGAGTGCATACTTCCCTGTGTTACTGTTCACCTTAGATGCCTGTCTGTTGCTTGAGCTGAGGGAGTGATTTCAGGCTTGCAGTATGTCTGAGGATTGTAGTCTTAGGGGTTCCACCAGTCTCTGTCAAGACCAGTAAGCCTGGTCTTTTTTCTTTTTCTTTTCTTTTTTTTTTTTTTTATAATTTTGAGTTTTGTTCCACATTATTCTCCCCCTCTATCCATCACCTCCCATGGTGATTCCTTTCAGAGAGGTCAGTAGTGGTAGCTAGGCACCATCTAGTTCTTCTGGTCTCCATGTCATGGAGACTGGGGCAAGATAATTATTCTTAATAACTCAATTTTCACTTTCTCTTTCAAAGATAAAGATCTTGTTTTACTACTTCAGATAATGACAGGCTGATTGCCTTGGACAAAAAGTCTT